GCTTTTATCCTTATGCGCAATTACGTGTTCATGCATGTGTTGTACGAATGGGGGTTGATGTCAGTAAGTAAAGATATATATATATACTCGCACTTGTAGTATCTAAACTCCCCAGCAAACTCGTCTCGCACTCCATGCCCAGTCTCCGCGGTGCAGCTAAACTTGTTGCACACAGAAATGACATTTAACACTGTCTCTGATCATTTAATTATTCAGAACTATCGTAGAGATCTGGCCAAACAAGCCTGTGCCAAGCTGGATTCCAATCAGATGGTGCGATTCTCGCCTGCTAACGGTATGGCGGGGGTAGTGATGGTACACACATTGATGCATACGAAATGCGCGTAGAAGTTAAGAGAGATTTATAGCAGGGATGGAGAATGGATCTTCTCGACAATGTTATGTCGGGTGTGTATCCGATATAAGACACAACCAAGCATCGACTTGGGATACATGCACGAATAGTAGATCTGCGCAATATACAGCTGGTGTATCTTTTCTTGATCCCGTTTTACCCGGTCCTTTCTTTGTACTACACGCATCAAAAGATAATCACACGTCTCTTAATCATGGCCATGTGTCCCGCTGTCTCTACAGGCAATGTTGCACCCACGGATATCGGACGTACGGCCAGTCACTTTTATTTGCGACACGAATCCATTGAGATGTACAACAAGGAATTCAAACCTCAGATGACCGAGGCCAACATCCTGAATCTTATCTCCAATTTCGTTGAATTCGAGAACATCCAGGTATAATTTGGAGTTATATCATATCACGTATAGAAAGAAGAGTGGTTTGTTGAGAGGAATTTTGTGGGAATTTGGGAAGTGGATGGTGGGCATAGGGCATAACAAAATCTTTAGCCACTCATTGATGTCTTTGCGCTCTTGTAAGTACATGGATTGCTTTTGTAATATGAGTGTGGAAGGGGGTGGGTGAATGGCTTTCCGTTCTTTTCATGTAACTGTAGGCATAGCATAGTTTGCATGTTTGTCTGTAGATGTTCGTGTATGTGCTTGATGTTCCGCTTTGCCAATCCTAATGAGTGTGATCTCATCTGGTTTCCATGGGTACATCCATGGATGACAATGTGTCTTGAAGATTAAATCATACAGGTACGCGATTGTCTGTTGTTTGTGAAGCGATATTTGTTGTGTTTACGTGCATGTGAGTGTTGTGGCGTGTGTGTGCGTGCCAGGTCTTGCGTGGTTATTAATCTCTAACTGCGCGAAGTCCCTTGTCTTGCTTCGTAGCCTCTCATCCAGACTACTTAAAAAGTTTGTTCTTTGCTTTAAATCTTGCGCCGTAGGTCCGTGATGATGAGCTTGTCGAACTCAAGAAGTTGCACAATGAGTGCGTCATGCCTGTTATGGGCGGTGAGTCAGGGGTTGGGGGCGCAACAGTGTATATGGGTTGAGGGCTCTAATTGTATACAGAGGCACATACCGGTGTGTGAGTCCTCGCGAGCTCGTATTTCAGAGTGGCAGCCTATCCGCACGAAACTTTTTTTTCCGTATTCGTGTATAGAAGTTTAAATGTCTCCATGTGGAGTTGTTCCCGGGTGCACTGGGATAGGAAAGACTGTGCGCATCATTTACAACTCATTTGTGCTGTGACACCACTCTCCACAAAGCCAACTGCCATGCATGTGGCGAAATGGATTGTTTGGCTTTACATACGAATGTTCAATTCAGTTCTTATGTACTGTGTAAATATCAGGAGCTGAGAACAAGAACGGCAAAGCCAACATCCTGCTGCAGTCGTATATATCGCGGTTGCGGCCGGAGGCATTTTCATTGGTGTCGGATATGTCGTACGTGGCGCAGAATGCCGCACGAGTTTTGAGGTATGCGAATCTAGTCTATTTTATTTCACAGACGACTACCTACGCACATGCGGACAGGTAAGCACAGGTACCTGTCTACACGTGTCATCTATGTGGGATCTTAAAGATCCTACACTTTGAAGTCTAAGTACTTCACTGACCACAAACCAGCGTACTACATACTTATATGGACTTCATTTACCCGGCCCTCTGAAGAGAGTAACGCTTGTGTTGCCAAATTCCATGTTTGCTTTAGAATCTGCAATACCTTTCACATTCTGCACTTCCTCATTTAGTTGAATTCGTTTTAGACGACTATACCCAAGCTCAATTCACACCGCTTTCGGTGTGAAATGGCACTTTTATGTGTCCAGAGCCCTCATGATAGAGGCTCGCTTGCACTGGGTTGCTACACAGGGCTTTGTTTGAGCTGGCCATGCGACGTTCCATGCCTATTGCAAGTAAACTACTGGTGTTGAGTCAATCGCTGGACAAGCGGCTGTGGAGTTACGAGTCCCCGCTCAGGCAGATGAATACGCTCAATCCTCAAATACTTACCAAGGTATGATTAATACCTATCAAGTACATATTACCCAATTACCTGATTTGATTAATATCAGATAGGTAGGTAATTACCTAATTTGATTAACACCTGATAAGTAGGTAATTACCTGATTTGATTAACATCTGATAAGTAGGTAATTACCTGATCGGATTAACATATGATAGGTAGGTAAATACCTGATTTGATTAACATCTGATAGGTAGGTAGTTACCTGATTTGATTAACACCTGATAAGTAGGTAATTACCTGATTTGATTAACATCTGATAAGTAGGTAATTACCTGATCGGATTAACATATGATAGGTAGGTAAATACCTGATTTGATTAACATCTGATAGGTAGGTAGTTACCTGATTTGATTAACACCTGATAAGTTGCGAGTACCTAATTACCAGATCTATCACAATTTACTTTCTAATTCTTGGCATGTCTGAGCTCGCGTCTATCTTTTCTGTTTCTGTATACAATGTGACTAGATGTGTCAACCTTCGGTGCATGCGTACACGTTGTCGTTATCAGTAGTATTTCCTATCGATTATTGAATTTGATAAGTTCCGAAATTCATAGTCGATTAGAATCTTAATTTTTTGAGGCTATAACTTCAGAATATTCATGTCCTTTTGACCGCCGAGCCATGAACGGACAAATTTTAGATTCTTAATGTGTGTAACGTTTTGGCACAGCTTCATGTTAACCATGGTTTTTGTGTCCAGCTTTCTCGTCTGGCTTGATACATAGTCTATCAGCTGACGTCTGCGCACGTGCATAGGAGTGCATCTCGTTGCACAAGCTGGAAATTTTGTTTGTAATATAAAGAAAATTGAATGACAACATAGACGTAGCAATGCATATCAGCTGTGATCCAGTCTACCATTTGCAACGGTAGAAAGCTAATCCCTACCTACCAAGGCCTCCCCTTTAGGAGGTACGGAGTCTATCCTGAACGCGGAAATCCCGCCATACGGATTTGATATGATTTAGTTCGAGCACTCTAACAAATGCAATCAAAGCTGTACTGATACCTCACACGCGCGATCATTTATATACTGAAAGTCCACTGTGGCATGTGTCAATTGCCTTTCATCTCGACATCTACGAACAGATTGAGGACTGTGAGTTGTCTGTGGAGGACCTGCGCGAGATGCCTGAGGGGGAGATTGGCGACATCCTGCACCATCCGCGCATTGGGTCGGTGGTAAAAAATTGTGTGCGAGAATTCCCTTACCTCAACATTGAGTACAAGTTACAGGTACGTATATTCATGGAAGTCTGCATGCATGATATCTGCGCGTTCAGACTCGTGGATATGTATCCTTTGGGATACAATTAATGATTACTTTTGTTGTACCGTGCCCAGAGGTCAAAGATGTCTTCAAGGCTTGAGCCAGGAGCAGTTTAGGGATATTTATATTGTCTCACTAACGAATCGCAACAGGAACGGTTTAGGAATTGTTTCAAACATAAGTGAGGTATAGATATGCAGCGTTCCATAGTAGTGTTCAATCAGGAATCCATCTGCAGAAGGTCGACTCAAATTGATCTTGATCCCTCTTTTGCTGTCAAAAGCAAGGTTGTTGAGGAGTAAACGTCAAATAATCGTTGCCAATGCTTAACGAATACGATAACACCTATCTACGCATCGCCACTACATATCGCACGCCTAACACCTCACTGGAGCACACCACTCTGTCGCACTACATTGCACCACTCCATCACCACACAGTAGAGCATGCCACTTCAACCCGACCTTGCACGACCAAACCACATAGCTAGTTATGAGGGATAACGGCTTCACATCTCCCACTCCGCATGCAAACATTAATTCCATATATACTACAGCCTATCACACGAACAGTGCTGCGGGTGAGTCTGACCATTGACGCAGACTTCCGCTGGAAGGACCAATTGCACGGGGGTGCGCAGTCATGGTGGATTGTCGTTGAGGATGCCGGGAATGAGGTGTGTCTTGAATTGCATTGCACGGTACATGTCGTAATACTACCTATATAAGAGTACGCGATGACTACAAGCATGTAGCTGGATGTGAACGAGGTTGTTTCACAGTTGTGTCAAGGCATAGCACGTCCGGGTAGATGCGTTGCCACTTGCACCATATGCGTGTGAATGATGTATCTTCGATTAGTTTACTCATACCCATATTCTGATATGATTTTACGTATCGAAGAATCCAGTTTACTTCTCATTATCAGCTTCGTGGTGCCTTCTTATCTCTACTAGTGGTTTGGCCAATCCTTAAACCCTGTGACAATTGCATCAATTCCATCTATTGTTTTTTTTTCACAAATTTCATTCTACCTCCTGTTATCGGTTGTGCACAGCATTACTACCACTCAGAGCACTTCACACTCAACAAGAAACAGTACAAAGAGACGCACAACATTGTGTTCACCGTTCCGGTTTTTGACCCGATGCCGCCGCAATACTTTGTACGAGCGATGTCGGATTATTGGATTGGGTCTGAAATGGTGCTGACCATGACTCTCGACCACGTGGTTCTACCTGAGAAGAACCCTCCCCACACGCCGCTGTTGGATCTGAGACCCTTGGTGAGTTCTATTGGTCTCGTAGTTTGTACTTTTGACATA